TATAAATATATATATATACATATATATATATATATATACATATATACATATATATACATATATACATATACATATATATACATATATACATATACATATATACATATATATACATATATATACATTATATATATATACATATATATATATATATACATATATATATATATACATATATGCATATATATATATATACATACATATATGCATATATATATACATATACATATACATAATATATATATATATAGTTAGCTAGTAGTTGTTGTTATATATATATAAATATATATATATATATATATAAATATATATATATATATATATATATATAAATATATATAAATATATATATATATATAAATATAAATATAAATATAAATATAAATATATATATAAATATATATATAAATATATATATACAATAAATATAAATATATATATATATATATATATATATATATATATATATATATATATATATATATATATATATATATATATATATATATATATATATATATATATATATATATATATATACATACATACATACAGGTAGTTCTGCTATAACGTGATAATTGTGTTCTTGTAAAATATCGTGTTATAGAAAATCGCGTAATAGAAATAACAGGGCTTATGGAGAAAATAGGGTTAGGTGCAGTTTACTCGAAATCGAAAAAATTTAGTAGTTAGCCTAACACAAAGGATAGCACAGTCTAAATAAATGTTACATTCATATCTAATAATGAAATCATACAGTAAATTTAACACTTTACCTTGAAAAAATATGAATGTAACTTGATGGGGGAGAAGGGTGATTTTGAGGTTGATAACATCGAGCTTCTCTTCAAGTGTTATATCCTTTCTTTTACGATAATCACCGGGAATTCTATCATCAGAACGCTTTTTGGGATATTCTTCTTTACCATATTCACAGTTAATACCACAAAATTGGAGAAATAGTAAGCAAAAATCGCGTTATAGCAAACAAGCGTTCGCGTTATACAAATATTGTTCCGAATTCATAAATCGCGTTAGAGCAAATTCGCGTTATAGCAGAACTCACTGTATATATATATATATATATATATATATATATATATATATATATATATATATATATATATATATACAGTGACCCCTCGTTTAACGAACACCTCAGTTAACGTAATTTCGATTAACGAACTGCCTTCCACAAGGATCTTCAATTCGGTTAACGAAAAAAAAATTCGGTTAATGAAGTTCTTACGAACCAACCTCAACATGTTTTCGCTTGCACTGACCGGGCAACCAGCTTTAGTATCAGTCCGCCAATACATTAATCGGTTCTAGGGCTTAAATTCCTTACTATTTTAGTAAATATCAAGAAATTTATACTATTCAATAATTTTAAAAGTTTAATATTCAATTTTTTAATCATTTTAACAATTATTGAACATAATTGAAGGTAAAGTGACTAGTTTAATGCGCGGCATCCAGCCTCTTAACACAGCAAACAGGAGTTAGTCTCTGTTTTCACTGGAGGTAACATCTTGCTTGAGGCTCTCTTCAACTAAATGCTTTTTTTCTGTGTTCCAAGCAAATTATTGGTCATTTTGAAATATATTTTACATATTGACAATATATAATGCAGTGCAGTGTTGATTTAAAGAAAATAATCTTGAATTACACAAAGAGAGCGAAAATTTTATGGGTGAAATGGCACCATGGGGTGACTTCTCTTCCACCCCAGTGCCTTCTCTTCTTCCTTCTCCTCCACCCCCATTCTAAATCCCATCATCATCATCCAGGAGCCTTCTACATACACACCTCAAAGTAAGTGAACTTTTCTACCATTTTTGTTGAATTTAGGAAATTTTCGGTGAGCTGGAACCAACCCAAAACCCCATTGAAACAATAGTTTGGGTTAACGAACTTTTTAGGTTAACAAACGACCTAATGGAACAGATTGAGTTCGTTAGCGAGTCACTTTGTATTATATATATATATATATATATATATATATATATATATATATATATATATATATATATATATATATATATATATATATATATATATATATATATATATATATATATATATATATATATATATATATATATATATATATATATATATATATATATATATATATATATATATATATATATATAATAAAAAATGCAATCTCTACAACTCTAACAAATTTTAACCTTCTTTCTGTTTTATGTCAAAGATTATATCGTAGCCAACACAAATGTCACTACTAGTTGCCATTTAAACAGCAAATTACTTCTGGCAATGGTATAAAGCACACAGCACCTAAATTCCAAGGATCTCCTAATACTCTACACCTTCACTGGAATTATAATTATCTACAATGACTATGCAGCCACCCAAATTTCTCCAAATGTACTGACAAATGCTGGAAGCAATGGTCACCAGAAAATATAAGTTTGATTCATAAGCCTCTCTTCCCAATGGGCAGCACATACTACAGTGTACAAAAAGGGCTATAGCTATCAATCCAGTTCTGACTCTCCACTTATTTATACTATAGAGCTGTGTATGGCACACAAACTGTAAACAAAATAACCCATGATGACAGCAGATACAAATCAACCACAATAAACCTATTGATAGGCTATGTTTGGTTAGTATTGCACATTGTTGCTCACTGCACATGTATACACATGTCTGAATCAACCTCATGCATGCAAAGGCTGTTTAATATCTACAGAGGCTGTACTACATTCCCAGGTCTATGGCAAAAAATGAACCAAGTACCAGACCACGATTGGTAATAACTTCCTACCATAAAATAGCTAAAAATAAATAAATAAGCTACCACCCAGGAGGGGTTCTGTCCAAGTCTGTGATGTCTGGAAAGCCAACAGTGAGAACCGACAAAATGCTTTGTAAACCACCGGGATATGTACAGTACACAAGAAAACATTATGTGGCGTTTGAGAGTTTAGGAAATATAAGGAAGCTTATATCACATACACCATTTTCTGATTTCCACAAATCCAAAGAGGCTTTACAGCCATTGTTCACCCAAAAAAACAAAATTAATAATAATTATATATATATATATATATACAGTAGTACCCAGATTTACACGGTCAATTGACGCGGAAAGTGAAAACCGCGTAAAGTGAACAGAACATATGGGATTAATTCCAATAGAGACTGGCCCGACCCCCAAACTCCACTTTTTCCGACACAATGCCTATGTTGTAGTAAAAATAACATCTAAATTTTATGATGGTATGCTCACACAATTAATATTTAAGAGAAATACAGTCGCCAGGTTAATGTCCATTCAAATAATGGACTCAAATCCCCTCTTCCCAGCTCACTAGCTCCTACCTCTCTGATTAATGTTTGGGTGAAAACTCTAGATTTTAACATTTACTAATAAATAATACCTCAGACTAAAGTTAGGATAATATAATTGACATTTCTGGATTCCTTGCAGGTCAGGGAATATTTTGAATGTAAACTTCATATATTGTGCACAAAAGATAAAATATTTGCTTTGTGTAACCCAAATTATTACTTTAGATCTAAAATTTGTATGTCTAATGCAAAATCCATGATGTTTATATTCAAAATGATCATCATATTGTAAAAATTCCAGCAATGTAAATTATATTCTGGCCGGGTAATTTGTATGAATTTTATGAGCTAAAACAAATATCTTCAGTTAATAAAAAAAAAGAAATATTCTTCAAGGACACTAACTGTCAATCAAAATACTCCACCCTAGCTGGGTCGGTCCCTCCCTCCCTCCCTACTAGAGAAGGGATTGGGAGAAAATAGTATATTTACATTTTTAGTAATATGATGATCATTTTGAATATAAACACCATGGATTTTGCATTAGACATGCAAATTTTAGCTCTAATGTAATAATTTGGTTTACACAAAGCAAATATTTTATCTTTTGTGCAAAATATATGAAGTTTACATTCAAAATATTCCCTGACCTGCAAGGAATCCAGAAATGTCAATTATAATATCCTAACTTTAGTCTGAGGTATTATTTATTACTAAAGGTTAAAATCTAGTGTTTTCACCCAAACATTTCTCAGAGAGGTAGGAGCTAGTGAGCTAGGAAGAGGGGGATTTGAGTCCATTACTTGAATGGACATTAACCTGGCGACTGTATTTCTCTTAAATATTAATTGTGTGAGCTTACCATCATAAAATTAAGATGTTATTTTTACTACAACATAGGTATTGTGTCGGAAAAAGTGGAGTTTGGTGGTCGGGCCAATCTCTATTGGAATTAATCCCATATATTCTGTTGTTCACTTTACGCGGTTTTCACTTTCCTAGGTACCCCCGTGGGTTCAATTGACCGTGTAAATCAGGGTACTACTGTATAAACAATTATGCGAGTTGAAGGACCACTTTAAATATATGAAACAGTAGTAATCACTCGTGCTGAAATGGAAAAAAAAGGACAAAATTTAAATACCAGTATGTACAAAACCACCAATCACAGAGTGCAAGCAAACAAGTATGCACATGCCTCTCCAGCCACACTTATTAAAGAATATTACAATGGCCAGAAACAGAGCAAGGGTAATCATTACTCTCAACAAACACACTCAAGCTCATTTACACTTATTCAGAAGAGGAACTGTTCACTAATAGTCAACAACTTCCTAAATTCACACATGTCTGAGGAAAGAATTGCTCACTAACCACCAGTTGACAATTTCCTATGTAATGGGCTGTTATTTCATAATATAATTCATGTTAATTAATGACTAACAGCTTTATGATAATATTATGGTTTGTGCAACTATACAAATCCTTTATCTCAATGCTTCTCAAATTCCATTCAGTACTTTGAAATTCAGTATCTTACATTAACAGTTTAACAAGTGCCTTACTGCCTTAAGTAAATCAGAGAACCAATACCTAAAATTACATCTTCTTTACACATTACCCATACTCTGGATATTGCTTCTACCTCAGATGAGGGGAAAAATGAATAAAATTTATAGTTATTTGAATAATAAATTAACTATATTTGATACATCATACAAGACTCCATCTCTACAACAAAATATCCTTGATCCAGAAGATTCTTCCTATAGCTTTAAGCATTACTTCAGAATATGGTACAATAATAACAAAAGGAGATAAATTGTATCATTTTACAGAAACAAACTCTCCTCTCCACATAAAGAAATGAATATAAAAAATGCTAAAAAGGATAATATTGTACAGTAAAAATATAAGAGAAATATTCAGGGAGGGATAACTAGCAAACTTCATTTTCATCAGTTTTAATAATCTAAATACTGTACAGCTACTAGATAATTAAGATGAGTAATTTACATGAAGCCCACCCCCTAAAAAAATATATATATAAATAAATAAATAAAAATCTGAATAACTGCAAAGTGGCTTTCAATGCCACAATAATATGCAAATGATAACAGTTACATCTTACTGTGAAGATAAAATGGAGGCCTGATTAAGTAACAAAGGCCTTGCTTGCTTTACAATTACTGTACTGTAACATCAAGGTAACAGTTTACTTAAGATTGAACCGACTATTGGAGGAGTTACTCATCTTGTGTGAGTAGTCTTGGCAACTGGGTGTTTAATTCCATTCCTCAACCAAAAATTCAGGTACAGTTCTGGATACTGGCAAACTACATTTAATATAATCAGAAGTGGGTAAAGTTTCTCAAGGCCTTGGACATCTGTACTTAACCTCTTTCGTAATGAGGATCTATTTCCTTGCCAGAAAATAACAAAAGAAAAAAAAAATGTTGTTTTGCAGAAATTTCTTTAAAGCACTCATGGTACTAGCCTAAACAGTATGCTAATCACTCAGGCTTATCTTAAGGAATACTGATACTAAACATTTGATATCTATGATGAACTTCAAAATATTTTCTTTGCCAACTATGAGATCTCTTCTTTCATGACTATCCGATGTAGCTGATCTATTAAAATCTTAAAAACTTTGTGTACTATAAGTTTTTCAAACTCATAAATATAATACAATAGTGTGCATGTATAAGATGTTCAGTTTCTGATAATTTAAGGGAGCATGCAGCAAAAGAATACAATAATAGATTCAATCAAAGGGGAGCAACTTTAATATGTATAGTCTGTGAAATGAGGACAGTTAATATACTGTATGTGGAAATAATGACTTGCCATCCCAGCCTGTTCCCGTAGTTCATAGACTTGTCTTGCACCAATGTACTCTATCAGTTCCATTTTTTCTTTGTGGTTTCTGTAACCCTTGATCTACCCTAAACATAAGTGAGAGAAAAGGAAGATAATAGAAATAAAATAAAAAGGGTACCATTCATCAATAATGCCAGCAATTTGGTCACTGCATTAAGAAAAGCTTATGCAACATCTAAAAATTATTTTACTAAAAGTAAAAGAAAAGTTTTACACAAGACTTTACATTTATATCTAACACAATAAATTCAAAGTTGGTGCCTCACGTCCCCTTGAGTCACACTTACATCGTTAAACAGACAGCCAATGACTCAGAGAGGTTAGATCAACTCCCGACTTTTTCTAATATAGCTTTAGCTGTAATCCATACCAAGTCAGTACAATAGCAAGTAAATTAATCATTAATGCCCATAACCACAATTATCCAAGATTTTCTTAATACAGTTGCAGATCATCCATGGTATATTTGATACCTGAATTATCTTTCCCTTATTCTATGGGGTTTAATTTGCTACTATGCAAAAAAGATTACTTTAGTCCCACTCTCTCCTCGAACTGCTAAGGCGGAGTCAGTCTGCAGTAAAAATGAAGAAGTAAATAAGTAGGTAATATTAGACAGGAGATGCTGTACAGGCACCATAAATAAACAATGCTGCTGTGGTAAATACATTAACCTTCCCTTTAGACCTTCAGCTGTGACTTTGACCTTCAACACAAACACTTAATTAAGACATTTTGTACTTTCCAATTTGTTGACATTTATTCCTGTAAAGTTTTATCATGAACTTCCAAGTTAATATATAAGCTATGATCCAGACAAATGAACTTTTCACACCATTGCAAGCATACAGAACCTTTCCATAATAAGCTTTTCTTCTTACAAGCCTACAAGATCAACAATAACTCTCTCATGCAATTTAATTTTTTTCCTGCTGCTATCGCCACAAAATCTTCTTCAAGAACTATGCAACACTACATCAGGTAAATCTTAACACTGAAATCCCACTGTAAAAGATAAAGTACAGAAAAGTGAGAGCACTGTGTATTTCAACCAGGGGTTATGGTTAAAATATACAGTCTCACTTTTTCTGTGTTCTACTTCTATAGTGGGACTTACAGTCTTATTATTATACGTAATTGTATTTCAATTTGCATCAGAGCTATAAATGCAAGAAGAGCAATGCTTCCAACCTGTAATAGTTCCAAAACTATTTCAATTTGTAAATACAGTATTTGATAACAGGGTTGGAAAAAAGCATATAAAAAATTATTTATGGGAAGACTGATTTAAATCATGTCATAAATGTAAAAAAAATATCATGCCATAATGAAATCACGAGTGTACAGAAATCAAATACAGTACATTTGAAAAGACATAAAAAATACCAATGAATAAAGCTGCCCACTCCAGATTTTTCATTATTTGAATACATTATTTTAGCTATTCTGTAACAGGAATATTGTGAAAATAATAATAATGGGTGCTAGGGAATATAAGTTCTTTCTAAGAATTAATAAAACATTAACATTTCATATAACTGTCAGTAGTCAAGTCTTCGGTACACTGTTGCCATTTATTTTTTACACTTACACAGTTGCCACCTTTTGGGTACTTTTTATTTTAAGGGTACATTTTTAACACTACTCTACTGCACTGGTTGTTAGCCTAAACTTGTCACTCTCCATTAACTTTCCCTCCCTTCACCATTACTTACTTCAAAACACAGCTTTTTCATACAAATATTAAACATGTTGTACAGGTAAACCTCGAGATACAATGGGATTATGTTCCTGAAAAACCCATCGTCAGGTGAATTATCATAAATAGGGAGCCTTATAACATACCGGTTCAAAGGGATATATTCCCAGCCAGTCCCCAAACACACATGAATCACCAACAAAAAAATTCCTACACTACTACTATCTGTACAAAACAATAAAACAACTCGCCACATCATATTTGACAAGTCTGGTCATCATCTCATGTCCCCTTAGCCTCTGGTCATTATTACATGTCCCCTTAGCCTCTGGTCATCATCACATGTCCCCTTCGAGGCTAAGGGGACTCTTGTAGGTGGAGTGGAGATGTCACTCTGACTTCCACACAACCTCTGGGGAGTCTCATGCTGCTTAACAATGTCAAGCTTCACCTCAGAGACATGGTTGTCTTGGATGCCTTGGCCTTCCCAGACATTTTCAAAGTTACACTGCTCACTTCACAGTCACAAAAACAGAGCAAACGATGATAACTAAAACAATGAATGGCGGCTGACATTTTCAAAACAAGAATCGACACATCGATGGCGGGTTTACAATCGACAAAGAACCAAACACAGGGCTGTAGTGCACGGGTTGGCCTTGAGGCAACAAATGGGTAGGCTTAAAAGTGAAGGCAGAGATGTGTCATGCATCGGGTTAAATATTATTTCCTTATAAAATGTCACTGACTTGATGTAGAAAAATTTTATTTGCGTTGCCGGAATCCTTGCAAGACAGCGAATAATTTGATTAAATACATCTCATACTTTGCACTAAAGAGAAAAAAAACATAATTCCGACCAATGGATATCATTAAAGCGAGTTGTTTTGACCCTATATGGCGAGATGGTGTTAATTTATAACCACAGTTAAAGCGGAATATCACATCTCGGGATATCGTATCTCGAGGTTTACCTGTACTGTATTTAAAAAATTAATTCCATAAAAAATATATCATAAATTACTGTAATGGTAATTAAGTGTAGTTCATGGTATTCAAGTTATTAAATCTTTCTTCCTAATTACTCCTGGAACTTATGTACTTACACTCAGTACTTTATTTATTAAATAATTATTATTAAGATGATTTGCTTTTGAGAATATATTCCAAATACTGCACTGCAATGTACATTCATAGCATGGAAACTACAAAGGGGATTAAAGTTTTCAGTTTACAGTATATCCAAAGGTTTATATCCATAATTACTGCTCATAGTTGCTATATTTAGTCATTGATTTGTTATGATGAAGCTTGAAGAAAAGTTAAAAAGGTACGTACTATGAAAATATCAACATGTCAAAAATTGCTGATTTAAATCTGTTTTATATCATGCCAAATCAGTTTGATAATACGTGTAAAATATCTAGCTGCACTTACCGAATGACGACAACACACTCCAACAACAACCATTTTGGTTCTGAGATCTAATCCACTTTCACTACACTGTAGATCTTTCGTACAAACCAGAAACAGGCGACGAAGCCAATGGTTCCTGAAAAAAAAAGGAAAGAAAAAAGAACTAAAAAAATCTGCTTCAAAAGTGACATTCCTCATCATACTGGATATGCCTTCACCAGTTAAGAGTATTGGAGCAAAATGAAACCAGTACGCCTGGCCATGTACTAAATTCTTCCCTTAGCGACCCTCCATAGTCTTGTCTAATTCCACTCTTTATGAGATAAAGCTCAGAAACGTTCGCAACATTTGTATTAGGTGACGGACCGTAAAATCCACAGGTCTTTAATATTCCTTCTCCAGTAAAAAAATAAAAAATAAATAAAAATTTATAGCTCAGTGAATGTTAAAAACCCCAAACACCACTTATAAAAGATCTTTTTACTGCATGGATTACGTTTTTACTCAAGTCATATCAGAAAAAATACATACCAACCCGAGAGCCATAACTTGCTATACAGTAATATCATTGAGTTACCATAGAGCAAGTGTATATTACCGTTAACATAATGCATACCTTTGTTGCCACACACACTTTCATGGTGGCTTGATAATATATTATTTAATATATGTCAAAAGTCAATAACAACTTTCTAATGTTTCCATGTTCCAAATTACATAAAATTAGGATATTAGAAGGGCAGTAACTGTATTGTGATGGCACTAAGTATGACCTCATCAAGACCAGACTGGACCAACACTGACATAGACAGATAAATTTTGAAGCCAGTACCTGCCAACAGTGCGTATCAGTGGCGAAGAGGATAAAGTATAACTGTTCACTTCCAAGACATCAATAATAGGAACACGTGTTTAAGTTCTATTGTACAATACCCTCTTAAATTTATCATAAAAATAATAATATCTTTTTATTATGATATATAAAGTCATTTCTGCTACAACGCGTGTTTTGTCAACGCGAATTAATTGTAACGCGATTGATGAATAGGTGAATGCTGTTTGTAAAATGCGAACTTACAGTAACACTTAGATACTTTTGAGGCACAAATAAAATTTTTATATTATATTGTAACACCCCAAAATTTGTCTCTCTCTTTTTTTTTAAGTGTGGCTTACGGTATATTCGTCAAAATATGGTATCTATTAACTTTATCCCTACCTTTGTGTGATCAAAAAGTAAAGAAAATTCAAATAAAAGGGAGGAGGTTGGGAGGTGCAAGTGTAGCAAGAGGTTGAAATAACAAGTGGAAAACATACATGATTGCATCTTAAATTCTCTAAATCAAGCCTAATTATAAATTCATATCTATTTTAGTTGTTTTTAGGAAAATGAGTTGTAATAGAAGAGAATAAGAATTGTGGCTATTTCCTTTTAGTCATTTCTAAAGCCTGGGCTATCAACCACCACTCACTAGATCTTTGTCATGGCATAAGACAACCAAGGAATTCATGATAAAATTTAATTCACGATAAACTTAATGTACTATACAGTATATGCTTACCAGGGAAAAGTTTCATACCTGTGAGCAAGAAGAAAAGGAAGACCATGATTGCTGTATACCCAAAGTAGAGCATGGTGGATACCACACCCTCTATGCTCAGCTTGGTAACGAAGTAATGAACACAGTAAAGGAATAAGTAAAATGAAGTGAATCCTGATGTTAAGAAACTACGCCACCACCAATGATAGTCCTGAAAAAGAGAAGAAAAAATATATAAATAAATTTTCAGAGAGCACACAAGGTGAGCAATAACAATAAAATTAAATATTTGGCCTCGAGGATACATTGAAAATCAAACCATAATATGAAGTGCATTAAAACACACCAAAGCTCCTCAAAAACATCTTAAAATTTAACTTAACCTGTTCATGGGTCTTCCCATATACAGTATAAGCAGGTTGCCCAGGTGAGGCGGAAGGTAATAAGTATTAATTTAAACAGGGGGTCCTCGTTACATGTGGTTTTGCACCAAGTGGTGATATAAAAAGTCCCCGCAGTTAAGAGGATCATAAGGCTGAAATCAGTCTTAACTTTTTGAAAAATTGAAGTTCCCACCCACCTCAGTAGCAGTTGCCTGTGTCCACAGGCATTATTTTTAAGTGCTCCAAGAACTATAATTATCAACTTTGTTATGTCTTTGGTGACATTGGTGAACTATTTTTGTAGCCATCAGTTTCAAACTGAAGCAAGGTGGTGCAGTGGCTAAAAGGAGGCGTAGTAGCTATGGGATGGACATGAAATTAGAAGTTATATGTTGTAATAAAAATGGTGAGCATGTATTAATGAACCACTTTCACTGAAATGAGCGTTGGAGTTGTAAAGTTAAATACTTCCATAAAATAATATGTAATCAAATGTTCCAAAATTTTTTCTAAGATGTATATATAACTGTTAAAAGATACCAAATTAATCTTTATGAGTGTCACTTACAATGTGACAGTCCCAATTAGACCTTATTCCTATTAATTCTTATGGGAAACAATTTCCCTTTTTATGTGGTTCTAAATTATCAGTGGCTTTTTTCTGGTCCCTATTAACCACTTATAATGAGGACCCCCTGTATCAGTTATGGAGAAATTTGACCACTTCCATTTTGAGAGATGAGGGTATGGTGACCAATTCACAATCTAGTACAAAATGAGTAAATACTGTACACAGAATGAGTGTGAGAGTGAATATTTAAGGGCATTACAGTTAACTTAAGTGTATAAAACAAAATACTGAGTACATGAACTGCAGCAAAGTGATCAGACATCCAACCTCACTGTACGTGCGTTACTTTTCAGGAAAGGATACGTTAAAATAATGTTATGTAATCTTGTGTCAATATTAAAATTAATGGAATAATTGCCACATCATACATAAAACAAGTGTGATCAACAAAAATATTTAAATCTGTACAAGGATGGCATCAGCATCCACTTGACTTTCCCTATTACCAAGGAAATATGGCTTATAACAACATTCACGCCCTTCATATGATTTTTTTAATCATACATAAATACAGTCATTTTTAGGAGGTTAACTTTTCTGAACTTACATCAAGCTCCATGGGAATGACAGGATCATTATATTCAACTTGGCAGACTATAAAGAAATATTTTTAAGTCTCTCCCACTACCATTCATTCCTATAACAGTTGTGATCACAG